ATAAATTTCCAACGATTTTTTTCAACAATTTTACTTCATGTTTTTTTGGGACACCCCTCTAGCTAAATATTGGTATGTCCAGTCTCGAGAGTAGTGTTAAACAACTCCTTGATTGGGAATTGGCGCGCGCGTCGCGCGTACTGCGCGATGTGGTGCAGAATGCAGCTGTGCCGGTGTGTTGTTAATTTAGGATATGACATGCTGATTCACCGTCACAGGTGTGTTGCGTATGCCTACGTGAGGATTGTGAATGTTCAATCAATAAAACGGTAAAAGGCGCCGGATTCCATAGGAGTCCAAATCTCATGCTGCTCTGCAAAAGTGTTTAAAACCGGCCACGTGACGGGTTCTCGACCAATAGAAATGACTAAACTGTCTTAGGTGTTTATTAATTAGGGAATAAAAGCGTGAGGACCCGGTCTTCCTTGCGCGATAATGACCGGGTTGGGGGATGGCTGCTGTAAATGAACCGATTTTCCCTGGCAACCCCCTGGGGGTCAAGTGCCATATACCATAGAATACTACGTGGTTTGCAGTTTTTGTGCACACTTAAAGGGAATGTACAACATTTGCTTTTGCTGCAATTTTCAGAAATAAATGGATTTGGAGATTAGTATGTTATAGCAAATATTGTTAAACTGACTTGCCTCACGTTTTGGGTTCGGAGATGGTGGAAAAACCAAGAAACCAACCATGTTCTTGAAGTCTGGCTCCCTGACCCCACTTAAGATAAAATGGAGCAATTTATAGACTTGGGGAATTGTAAGGTCAGAGAACCAGTCTAGCAGGCTTGTAACCCTTCACTGGTGTGTGATCAATTGCAAAGAAAATGCACCGCAACCAAATACGAAAAATTAGGAGCAGTTTTTAGAAATAAGCCAGTTTCTCCTGCGCTGGTCGGCCGACCAGCGTTGGAAAAATATGTGTTTTCTTGAAAATGTCAGCACAACAGGAGCCACGATTTTACAGAATCCTTTGGACTGTCATTCCCTAACAATCCATTAAGATATTTCGTGATAATTTGATCATTTTTTTTTTTTTTTGATGTTTGAAAATGTTGTATCTTCCCTTTAATTGTATGGAAATAAATGCATACTACAGGTTACTGCTCAGTAGTATTTTGTAGCTTTGGGTGAGTTTTTTTTAATCAGGTAAGCATTTTTCATCTTACATAGTGCATATCAAGTGAAATAAAATTAAAACAACAAAAAATTTTCCTCACATGTGGCTATCACTAGCTGCTGGATATCTGAGCCACATTTATGGGACTAAACCAGGATCGGGGTGCTCGATTCTACACATTACTTATCCGTATACCACAGCGTGAAATAGTGGCACAGAAATGCAATGATTACACCAGCATTTTAGTAACCTCAGCGCTGTGGTTGATCCTTCTATAAGACGTTGACCCCATGAGATGGCTTAACAAGTGAAGCATGCAATAAAACACGGTCTGAATTCCCTGATCACTTGTTCCACATATAGGCCTATTACAGTGTCTTGCTATCGATCGAGAAAATCCCCCCATTAAAGCCAACCAGGGAGCTAGGGGATACAATGAGCACTCAGGCGAAACAGAAAGCCAGCCCTGCCTGGAGGTTATTTCTCCACGCGGGGACAGAATTTAAAAAGAACCCGCTTACTCAGCAAGCTGGTGGTGTGGGTTTTTGCATTGTCAGCATGTTCTTTATAATGTAAACCACAATTAACAGATCAAAATGGAAAAGTTGTTACACCTTGATATTTAATTGTGAAATATTACTTTCTTGTTGCTAACTGTTCGCTAGACCCAACAAGTACGTCTCTCATGATGTACGCTTGTTCATAACTTTTACTAATATAGGAACATATTTTATGCAACTTTCTACTCCTCTTATTTGTATGGAAACTAATTGACATCCCTCATTGGGTAATTTTAGTGAAAAGTGCACTTCTTTTACAGAAATATTTTTCCTGACTACTGATACCGTATGGTGTCATGTTATAGAAGACACTGTTCGGTTTAGGGGTTTTCTGTTCAAATTGTGAATACAAAAATTTGCTCTTGAAAACATTCCTGAGAAATGTTTGCTCATTGGCTTACTGTCATATACTGACACAACAATGAATCACCAAAGAAAAGGACACTTTTTTACGACAGCAAAATATCCAAAATTCTGGCATTTGTTGTGTTGAAATAGCTGTGACATTGAGGTTTCTGCCTAAAATGACATCACACATTTGCTCATGAATATGGCAACTGGCATTAGCATCAAAACACAAAAATGCACCAAAAAGACCCTTGAAAATGGCAAAGGTACATTTTCAAGGATTGCAGTACAAAAACTTACATTACACGGCAACGGGTATCACTGTTATTTCGGTTGTGTAACAATCAAACGGTTGTTTACTATATGAACCTAGCAACCCGTTGTGTAAACTGTTACTTGGGTAAAATATTACACAACTTGTTCAATTTGTTTTACACAACTGGTTGCTAGGTTCATATAGTACACAACCGAAATACGGAGGCTCTGGACGCCGTACTGGGTTTGGCATCCCTACGACTTAGATGTTTGTCTGGCAGGAATAAAATGCTACAAACAATAATGTGTAGGCCCCTATAACTAGTTAATTAAACTTCATTTGCTTATTATTTTGGAGGATGTACGAGCAAATTAGCGATAAAACATTTCAGTAAAATTCACAGGACAAATACTATGTTCAAAGACCTATATACATTATGTTCGTGATATTGGATCAGGAGCTGATTTTTTTTTCTTCAAAATTACCAGGTGACAATCACACATTCAGTGTCACACATCCAGTGTCACACTAAAATGATACTGAAGATAGACCGTTTGCACTACACCCATTTTTGAGGTGTGTGCTTATGTTGAACAGGGATACGCATGAGCAGACCTCTTTTATTGATTGTTAATATAATACGTTAATATAAAACATAAAGACGGCTACTGAATGCAGTCTATCTATACTGAGAGGCGATCTTTGTGAGGAAGATTGGCATCCGTCAAAACAAGATATGGACCTTATTCACGATGTAGCCATTTCTAACGTGTTCCCTGAATGTATTTCATTAATTGTTAACTGTTGAATGGGATGGCGCCAGACTATTTATGCAGCCTTATTTTACTTCTCTTTTTTTTAATCTGGCTTAAAACATCAGGGAATGCTACAAATTTTAAATTATTCATTTAAACAGACTTGAATTATTTAGTAATGTACTTGTTTTCATTTTTCTTCGCAAGATCCAAAAATGTAGATTTTACCTCACTTTCAATTCAACATGGCCGACTCGTGAATGAGGCCCATACCAGTACACGTTGAAAATCAAATCCTCGTACACAAAGCGATAATGACTGGTGCTGCGGAGTTCGAAATATGGGAAGTCAGTTCCCTGATCTTTGTACATCAACGATTAACGTCACAATATTGTTTTCACGATATCGCACATTTTTTTACGACATCTCGCCGCCGATTGCTGAGTGTATAGCTTTGTACAAACAGCCCCGCCAACTACGGACACACGACAAGTTCACTATAGTGCCTTGGTGTACTTGTGTACACCAACGTGACGTAGAGGCTGCTATAGGTTGCTGGTAAAAAAAAATTGCGACACATTTTGAAGCGAACATTGACGTCAATATTTGCGACCGGCCGGCCGCCGGACAGTGACAAAAAATCGCCACCGCAAGAAAAGTGGCGCATCTAGTTGCCCCCTCCCCCATTCAGACACTGACTAATGTTATAGTACTAGTAAAAAGGGGGCCCAAAAAGAATAGATGGAATGCTATAGTGCAGGGATGGACACCACATTACACCCAAGGGCGCTGTTCCTGATACAGATGTACTGTACATCTTATGTATACTGCTGGCGCTTACGCGCCTTATACTTACATCAAAAAGGCGCATTTAAAGCTTTTGTACTTTTTTCTTCTGGTTTCCAGTGCTATTGAATACATTGTGGTTGTTGGGAAGATCAAACAATACTCAAAATCCGCAATTTGTTTGTTTCTCATCACGAAAAAGTTAGGGAGGGGGTGATCCAGTAGCCCATCCCAATGATCAAAAAGTGGGGGTATATACCCTCCCCTCCCATCCCCCAGGGATTTACGTGCCTGATTAAAATACAGTCCCAAATATGATTTGGTCCTTTCCAATTCAATAGTGAAACGAAGACCTAACGAAATGACCGAGACAGAACTGGTTGTTGTTTACCTTTGAAGGACATCAGACTTTAACAAAAGAATAATAAAATTTGACCTCATGCACCGTTGCGTTGCTGGTCCTTGATAGGCCTACAGGGTCTGACAAGCAAATATTTATGCTGAAATTCTCATGCACGAAAACCCAAGCCCTTTTGAAAATAGGTTCGCTGTAGGGGGTTATTTGTCGGGTAATTGCCTACGATTCCATGTCCGTCCCGACATTATACAATCACCAACAATTCACTGGGGAAAGCTCCATGATCTTATTAACGTGTTCAACATGTGATCAGAGCTTAACATTTCATGTACACAAAGCACAGCGCAACCCATTGACAGAATGAGCCCTCAGCTAGCTACAGCCCCAACTCCACGTTGAAGAAATAATCCGTAGTGATCTCCCGAAATGTGTTGTTGATTGCAGATTAACTACTCAGACTTGCTATGATAGTGTTGTTGTCAGTAATTGAATTTTGGCATCTTGGAGGCACTTTTACCGAATGTGTCATCAAAACACAGTTTACAACAATTTCATGGTATCGCTCCAACAACAAAGCAATAAGGCATTATTTGATATAGAAGAAAAAAATGAAGAGGTTAGCCACTTTGTGCATTTCGTGTATGTGTCTATAAAGTAGGTTGTTTTTGAAACCTTTCTTCAGAATTCTTTCGGACAATAATACCAGAAGGGAGCTTTGTTTGACAATGAGGCTGTGAAGCTGTTGTGGGATTTGATTGAACCTATTGTTGATTACATCACATAATAGCTGCTTGGTTTCAATGGTCAGCTGTACTTTCTGAACGGCCTTCATGAATTAGCTTGTCCGCTGGCCCTTTTCTGCAACACGTACATCACTGATGTAGCGTTTTTGTTGATCAGGGAGAGAGGACGATTCGAATGAGCTGTACTTAGCGAGTGGCAACGTCGGCCAACATTATGCTGCTACTGTGAATAGTTCATAAATGCTTGAGAATCTGGGTTTGTTCATTTGTGTGTAGTCAGTATATAACATTGTCGTCCCTAATGTTGTGTGGAATTGAGTTTATTCCATACTAAATTCTTCGCGATGGACTTAACCTAATACAACGGTGCTTTCTCCAGGGGATTCGGCAATCAAATTTTACGCGATTTCTGATGTTTCTGCGAGTTCAAAATGGAAAATAATGTGCCCATGAAAACACTTGGCCCATCTGCGTCCATGCTGGATAAACTTCAAGAAATATGGGATGATATCTTCCATAAAGGTAATATACTTGTGGTTAATACGCAAACAGGCGCCTTTTAAATCGGAATTGAGTTTGCATCAATTTTCTTTTTTGGATTAATTTTTACTTATGGGCAGTTGTAGGGTTTTCCGGGTGAGAGGTGTTTTACGCCTGAGACTAACTGTATTGGAAAGTAACGTTTGTCCTGTATAATAAGCTACAATTTTGGAAACATTAATTGTACATCTTGTAAAATCTATGATATTGAAAAGCCGTTTAGTCTTATTTTTTTCAGACTGTTGTGATGTGATGAAGTACTAGCTGCCACAATGCAGGGGCGGCGGAACCGGGGGGGGGGGGGGGGGGGCTGGGGGGCGTTTGCCCCCCAGATTTTCCCAAGTGCCCCTTTTTGCGGCCATAAATGTGCCCCCTCGAGCATTAAAGTGCCCCCTCGAGATAAAACAAAAATGCCCTTAAAGTATCTTACTATTTCTTAGAAGTAACCATTTCCCAATAATGGTAGAGATATTTTTGATATAAAAGAGGAATATGAAAACCAAGTCCCAAAACCCATACAAGACGCTCTGAAAATGGGCACATAATGTATGTTTAGCATATAATCATTGGTTTTGAAGCGCCCCCCGAACCCCCCCCCCCCCCAAGTGTCCGGTGAAAAAAACGTGGCGACATTTCAGCACGGGTTTGCAAGTGCCCCTTTTGGTTTGCAAGTGCCCCTTTTGGGTGCTGCCCCCCCCCCCCCCCCCCCCCACAGTTTTAAACCCGTTCCGCCGCCGCTGCCACGATGGATCAGTGTTTTCCAATACGTGGCTTATACGTGTAGCAAAACAATTTTCCATATCCTTAAGCAGCTTGAAAAACAAAAGTTTACTTACATTTGTAGTTGATTAAACTCATACAAACACTATAGCCTAAAGAGTAGTGAATTTGCATTGAAAACATACACTTTGGTATGAATAAATGTAAATGTGATCCCTGAAAGTACAAATTCACATTACAATTTTTTTAATTCACATCTTTATCAAAATTCACATGTAGAATAATTCCCTAACCCTGCTGAAACCAACAGGATCCAACTATGTCACATACCCGATGGAGCCTGTTGGATTGAGCAGTAAACCCATAGTGTACATTCCTCGTGCAAAATGTTGGATTCAGCAGGCAACTGAACAGCATTATTATGCCATGTTGGACTCCGTTGGATTCAGCAGACAACTGAAAATGAGGCACAGTGGATTGAGCAGGAAAGTCCGGTTGGACTCGGTTGGATTTAGTAGGGTAGTCCTGAGGAAGAACTAGGGGGTTAGGGGCGATGAAAGTCTAAAGTCACATCTTGTTTTCACACGTTGCCAAAGTCACATTCATGTTTTTGGCCACTCGGTCTATTTCACATCCACTTTTCAAACTTTTCTAAAAACAGTGGATCTGAATGGGTCAATCCTAAATGTAAATTTCGATGAAGATATATGAATATGAAACAATGGGATGGGAATTAACAGGGATCAAACGCACATCCGGTATCCAGTACAAAAGCACACCTTCGCCTTCTATTGTGGAAGGAGGTTCTAGTACGTAAGCAGATTTTCAGACCCAAACTCATTTTGTCCTTTGAATTTAGAAGTCGCATACATGTATTTTTAAAAATCCTTTTTGTAAAACATAGCCCCCAAAGCCTCAAATTAACACTGGAGCTTCTCCGTATTCATAGCCACACAGCAATGCGTGCTAACTTTCCTGTAAAGATGTGTTTCCTGAATTTGAAATATAGCAATTTTTCACTTGATATTCGATATGGAAGCTTTACTTGCCTGGTTAATAACCAGGAAAAAAATCGAGTTCTTTACCTGTAGCCTAGATGTCTAGTTATCCTCATTTTCAGGGGAAATCTGGAGAGAGTGTGTGCAAAATTACCGCAGATTTTTTTTCTGGAGGTCATGAGTCATACACCTTTGACTTTCTGATTTTATTTACAAGGTAAATAACTTCCACAGCAAATATGCCTATCCAATGAAAAACCTATCCAATTAAGATTCAGGAAACATAGCCTAAATAAGAAAATTTAGCCCGCATCGTTGTGTTTCTCTAAATATGGATGAAGTCAAGTATCTGGCACGCATGAGGCTATCACAAAATAGGTCTACACGGCTATAATCACTCTCTTAAGTGAACAAACCAACACATACATTTTATATTATTCCAAATAATTTTAAATGATCCTCTAACTTACAAAGAGCATATGCTTCCGGGAAATCTAGATTTAAAGTACTTTTGGTGCGTTCGCTATAATGATGAAATGATATTGATAAGGCTTAATACCGGTACATCTGCTTTTACGACATATGTAGGTTTACATAACGTCGGTTGTGTAGAAATCAGTAAGACAACTCTCTAAACAATCATCCTATTATCGTTTTAGAGTACATGAGCTCAAAAATAAAAAAGCGATGAGGAAATTTTTGCTCTGGTTGCGAGGCACTTATTACTTTTTAAAATTTGGTTCGTTCGTTAAAAATCGCTTTTTTTAAGCAATAAAATGTTCATAGTCTTAAGTATAGGGCCGCGGAAAGCGACTAACCTCATAAAGGGCCATTCTCCACTTAAAGTGTTCAAGTTTGGTCTCGGAAATGGCGGTATAACAACATTCAATAATTTGGGTAACTCTTTCAGAACTGCAAACTTCAATAGTTTCAAAACACTGAACAATGCAGCGATGGTTTTTAACGACGCCAGAATTTTCAAGAACCATAAAAATCTCATGCTCAATTCAACAAGATTTTGCATAATTCAAATGATCCCTTGAGTGTTAGGTTTTTAATAACAAACAGATACGTCACTTCATGTTCATTTTTGAAAAGTTCAATACCTTTGATAACATGCATGAGACGCCCTTAAAAGAGTTTCCGTGTCGTGTTTGTGTATCAGAGGCAAATGACAAAGAAATACAATTTATTATTGATATTGTGAAATAACAAACGTTTTCTCTTGATCAGGAGAGTCGATTAAGTAATTTGTTATAATATTTTTCGTATCAATAAGCTGTCATTTTGGAATGAGGCCTATTTACAATGAAGCATGAAGTAACTCGAACATAATCGTTTCGATGATTAGTTGGTTATAAAAAATGTTTCCTGTAAAGATTGAGAAAAAAATATCCAATGTATAATCCCGTTTTGTAGCGTATATTATCTTAATCACTTATGAAACTTAATCCAAATATGGATTGACACAATTTTTGTCGAATAAGATCATATGCCGAGTGCTCTTTCCCCCACCAGTCCTCACTTCCAACAAAACAACTGTACCATTCAAGAGGAACCAAGGACATTTTCTCGTGATCATGTTTATAGGCTGTTTCCGGGAAAAATGCAGCACATTTTGTTCCCACAATGGTTGCCAGGCTACATGTGATTCGCTAATGGCTAACAATTTCCATATTTGCTAACAAGTTCCAGAAAAAAACCATAATCTTGTAAATTAAGAATTATGAATATCCAGTGCGTAGAAAAAACGGCACAAAGTACGTGCAGACAATCTGATTTTAATTGGCTGACAACGAGTGTCAGTCTACTAAACACTATTTATTTATTTATTTATGTGGACTCGGTTTGCAAGGGTAGTCTCTTTACGACGTATAAAAAGAGTAAGACTAGCCTTGCTTGCGAGGATGCATGCCTTACGTGCAGACCAGTAAATAGGCCCCGAATTGCCTACGCCGGCCAATCCCAGATGTTAACCTGTAGTTCTACTTGCATTACTGCGAATCTTGGGATGGAATAAGACCATGGGCGTCGCCAGGATTTTTCCCACGGCGGTGTGAAACACGCCGTGTGCCCGAGCTTGAGCTGCTCATGTTGGTGGGTGGTCGGACACTTTACGGTATGGCCGCGAATTCTCTTTTCCCAAACTACATCCATGAAACCATGAATTTCCCGGGGGGGGGGGGTGTTTTCGCGACCGCGACCAGAAACATGTTTGGGCCTACAAATGGGATAACCAGAAACATGTTTACACATGCGCACACAAACAGGGGTATTTATCATTGTAAAAATGGGTATTTATTTACTGGTCTGCACCCTTGTAGCCTAACCTCGAGCGATGAGCGACATAGCGGAAGGATACAGTCTTTGATCATGCTATATACATGTATATATCTATATATTGTTGTTCTCATCCATCTTCCAGTTCTTTCCCTCACTCAGACAGGAAGAACGAAATGAAGTTCTTTATGTTGTACTTTTATGTGTGTTTTCTGTTTCTATTTCCTGTAGAAGTTCCGAGCCAACAACCACAGTCGAGTTGTATGACAAACCATGCCGACCATGACTTACTATATCAAACAGAAACCATCGCACGAGAAACTGACAAAAACGCCCATCGTGACAGTGCCAGCCCTATTTTAGGTAATGAGAAACAGTCTGGTCTCGGGATGTCAATTCCCAATAATTTTACTTCAAATGCTGAAGTCATCTGCACTGATCAAATTCAGCAAGGAAATGGAGCTCGGGACAGGCGTTCCCAGAAAGGAGAGAGCACTCGTTTCAAACCAAATCTTGTAAAAAGTCAAAGTTCGCCATTGGGGAACAAAATGGCGTCATCTGCCTCTACGCCACTTTCCAGGAAGCGAGCTATTTCCATGACAACCCAACGTCCAGCTAAGACGAACGACTCAGAGTTTCGCGTAGTATCAGCACATCGGGTTGATGTAGAGGAAGATAAGCTCTCTGACGTGTCATCAATTTATGAACAATTTGAAGTAAGTGGTGATCGGCATGACATGCGATTTCCATGGCAACACGACGTTCCTGTCCAGTGTGATCGCGTGCAAACAAAGGAGGTTAGTATCCAGACGAATTTCGAGCCGTGTAGTCAGTGCCAACTCGGAAGACTCTCCAACTGTTCTGATCTGAGTGAGTTGGATTCTGCAAGCAATTACGGGATCGATATGCGCAAACGAAGCTCAGTCATCTCATCCTTACGCCGATCAACCAGCAAATCGAAGCCTAGACTACAGCGTCAAAATTTTAGCCTTGACCTCACCGAATGCTCGGAAACTCACAATGGTGGACACCTTGTGAATGGAACTACAGCGCCTGGGTCACCCACAGGTCCCTTCAGGAGTCGTTCAAGTCGGATATCTACATTACGCCCTCTATCGGACTCAGACATCAGTCGAAGTTCAGTGGAGAACTTCTTGGGGCACTCAAAGATTATCCGGAGACGCAAAAATGCTGACGTTGCAGCTGCTAAGAATGGTACAAGTTTGAATCTGACTGAAGATACGACTGATCAAGACTCTTTACTGTGTTCTCCATGTCCGTCGCCTATTCCACAGGTAAGACTACACCTCTCTAATCGGCAAGCCTTGTTAATACACTCAACCAAAAAAGAAAGTCTCCCCTTAATACTTTTTTGTCTAACTCAAAAACTACTGAGCACATCTTGCTCAAATTACGACTGATCAGTACAGAAATTCCTTAGCAATCCATCCATACTCTTTGTTTGGCCCAAAACAGTAATAATGTGTGCACACTCATGCAATTTGTGTCAAATGCCATACTCTTTATTTGGCCCAAAACAGTGATAATGTGTACGAATTTATGTAATTTATGACAAATGACACCACAAAAAGGTTGTACTTTGTATACGTGCAAGGTGAGTGTTAAAGGGAAAATACAACATTTGCAAACATCAAAAAATAAAACTACCAAATCATTTTGAAATACCTTGCTGGACTGTTAGTGAATGACAGTGTAAAGCATCCTGTAAAATCATGGCACCTGGTATACTGTCATTTTCAAGAAAAGTGGTATTTTTGTATCAATTTCCAACGCTGATCGGCCGACCAGCGTTGGAAAAAAACTGGCTTTTTTTCCAAATACTGGCCCCAGTTGACAATCGCACTTGTTTGCAATCGATTACACATCTATGAACGGGTACAAGCCAGCTAGACTGGTTCCCTGACCTTACAATTCCCCAATTTATGTAAACTGCTCTGTTTCTTCTTAAATGGAGTCAGGGAACCAGACTACAGGAAAATGATTGTTTTTCTTGGTTTTTATAGCATTTTCGAACCCAAACCTCAAAAAAGTCAGTGTAACTATATTTGCTATATATTTCCAACCCCCCAATTCCATCCATTTCTGAAAATTACAGCAAAAGCAAATGATGTATATTCCCTTTAACCCACAACTTGCACGTTTACAAAAGTGCAGCTGTTTTCGGTAACATAAATTCATAAATTAGACTTACACGTGGACAACAGTGATGTTGGTGACTTGTATTCAAATTAGCTTAATAACACTATTCTTGCGATTTTTTCAAGATTGTTTTCACCACGTATGGTTGAAGAGCTATACCTCACTACATTATATAAAAAAAAACAGTTCAAATAAGTTGAGTAAGGGGCCGTTCAGAATTTTCAATGTTTTAAAATTTCGATCTTTTTTCCAAATTGTGGGTGGGTGGGTCAAGCTAAATAATTGAAAATCGAAATTCACTTTCCATGGAAAAAGAAAAAAGAAAAAGAAAGATAGATCTTTTGACTTGCCTGAACTACGCGCAAGCGTTCCGATATCGCAATGCGTGTTTCTTTTCCAACTTCGTCCCCTGTATGTACTGTACATGTACGTCATGTACGTGTATATAGACCCACTGTGGCATGAGAGGGAGGTGGTTTTTCAGTAGACTTGGACGCCGGGTGTTTGTAGCGGTTAGGCCGTGCAGAGGCAGCAGGGTACCAGGTGTACTAGATCGGCTCTATAACACTCCGCGGGCGTCGATTACCAATCGCTATAAAAACTGGACTACTTATTCAACCACTGGACTCCAAGACTACGAGGACCGCAGCCTGTGATGTGATGTCTGCCCAAACCTGATGTTTTTCTTTCGCTCGTACCCCCCCCCCCCCGCCCTGCAAACGGGGGGGGGGGGGGGGGGGGGGGGGGTTACGAGCGAATGTTTTTCTCAGCTACCTCACGTGACAGGCACAACCTCGTATGTCACATGTCATCCACCTCATCCAGAAAACGACAAAACCACGGTCATCTTTGTGGCTTCCAAAACCAAAACCTGTCATTCCAAACAGCATATCAGCTGGCAAAACACAAGAAAACTGAAGGTCACCAGTGCAAAAGAGGAAGACCGACAACTTCACGCCGTCACTGAACTAGACACACATGTACAGGGGTATACATGTTCATGTATACATGTTCATGCAAGTGCATGTACATGTACATGTTCAGTTTTTTATTAATCGAAATTAGTGGTGGGTGGGTGGGTCAAAATAATTTTAAAACATTGAAAATTCTGAATGGCCCCTAAGTAGGTTAAACTTCCTGTCAAAAGTGGGTTTCCTTCTTTTGCACAACCCTGTACATCTGCAGACTTACAATTGCTATATGTTCATTTGACATCGTAAATAGACAAAGTGTGAATGTGAATGTACTTCTTTTTGTTTTGTCCCTCCCTATAGGCCTACATATTTTTAAAATACTTTTTATCCACCCTACATTACCCATGTTATGTGCTGGATTTGCTTAAGACGTTCCAGCTCTGTTTGCTCATTTTAATTAAACAAAATGGACTTTAAGGACAAAATTGTACGTTTATTATCATTGGCCCGTTTGCAAAAAAAACCCTCTTTTTATTTGTTCTTTAATTTACTGCTGAGACTGCTTAGGCCACATTCAGAAAATGGTTGGCATAAGTTTTGATTAATGTAATATCTTGTGATTTTCTGTTTTCCCCACCCACCCCCACCCCCACCCAAATTGTTAAAGGTGTCCCCGCCCCTTAAAGAGAAAGTTTGTCTAAAATTGTGTTTCAATATGTAGGCTCAACTTCATCCACTTCAAAAAATCTTGATAGATGATACTCCTGTTTGGTTTTTTGCCGTTTTCTTTCAAATGGACGCCCCGCCCACAAAAAGGTCAGAGTAAAATGGTTATTCAATTGTACATTCTTCATTCTGGCTAAAAATAAAAACAATACCCCGAAAACAATCTTCTTGGGTTAGAAACAAATGGCAACAAGTGGATTTGGGTTTGAAAGTGGTTCCAGCGGCGGCGGAACGGGTTTGAAACTGGGGGGGGGGGGGGGGGGGGGGGGCAGCACAAAACATTCATTATGTGCCCATTTTCAGGCCGTCTTGTATGGGTTTTGGGACTTGGTTTTCATATTCCTCGTTTATATCAAAAATATCTCTACTATTATTGGGAAATGGTTACTTCTAAGAAATACTAAGATACTTTAAGGGCATTTTTTATTTATCTCGAGGGGGCACATTTATGGCCGCAAAAGGGGCACTTGGGAAAATCTGGGGGGGGGGGGGGGGCAAACGCCCCCCCCCCAGCCCCCCCCCCCCCCCGGTTCCGCCGCCCCTGAGTGGTTCATTTATAATCTGATATTTTCAAAGAATGTACCCAGTATGGGACATGATTTTTGACCGTAAGCCAACTGACTATAGTGTTAATTCCCTGTCTAGGCCTGAATCGTAGGACTTGCAGATTTGTTTCCTTATTAACTGGTTTGTTTGTTTGTTTGTTTGTTTGTTTTTACGTTGATGTTTTTGGTATTAATTTCTTATCGTGCTGTGTTTTCGCCTAATCCTACGCCAGCTCTTGAGGAAGCTTGACTTAATGTGGACGTGTTCGAGTGGCAATGATCTAATTTGCCGCCCTCGCGTGTTGAAATATCGACAATCACGGGATACGTACGGTCGGGTAAAGAGACGGCTATTTATGTGTTCTGTTCTTCGTTCCCTAAGTCTATAGTGGCGGATCTACCCCCCCCCCCCCAACTTCCTCCCGCTCAGTGGCTGACTAGGCCTAATGTTATGATACTGGGCCAAAATAATAGATGGAATGCGAAAGTTCCTATTTTGTTCTCGCATTGCCTTATTAGAATGCTGAAGAAAGCATCGTAGATTTCAAAATTATCTTGGGGGATTGCCCCGGACGCCCCCTCCCACAACAACTTAAACCCCCTCCTTCATATCAAACACCCCCACCCAGTGTCCTGAAATCTAGATCCGCCCCCTGGTCTACACGTTGTTGAAGGTCCCACAAGTCTCCATAACAATATTAAACATAATTTAACAAAAAATACTTATCCGGTGAGAATATATCAAGCGACAGGGGGAAAATGCCCAACGATTTGAAAAAGTAAACCTTACTTATTAGCTCTTCCAAAAAAATTACAAGGGTAACTCCGATTTTCCCCGAATTAGTTGTTAAAGTGAGATGGTTTTTATCAGCACTTTGGTAATGGGTATTAGATTTTAATGACCTTTGGGATTGCCAACATTAAAAACAAACATGGCTTTACATGTACATGTATATCCTTTTTTTTTCTTTAAGGAATTCGAAAATTCTTCGCACTTGAAAACGAGGCCGAAGGTAATTATTACTCAGCACGACGATCCTTGCTGTGAAGTCCAATCACAACGAAGTAGCAGCAATTGTAAGTTGAATTAGTGTGGAATTTATTGAAACAGATTTGTATTTATAACAATGGAATCTAGATAAGAGTTTGCCCGGTGGAGTCAGCAAAAAGAGTTCGCGGTTGCACTGACATGATGAAATCACTTTGTGAGTTTGTGTGATTCAATGGGCAGAACCAGTTGCAGACTTAAAGGGAATACACAACATTTGCAAACATCGAAAAATAAAACTACCAAGTTTTTACGAAATACCTTAATAGGATGTTGGTAAATGACAGTCTAAAGCATCCTGTAAAATTATGGCACCTGGTGTGAAGTCATTTTCAAGAAAATGGTATTTATGTAAAAAAAAATCCAGCGGTGGCCGGCCGACCACCGTTGGAAAAACCTAACTATTTTTCAACTACTGCTCCAAATTTACCGTTAATTTAGTCCAAATTTTGTTTGCTATTGGTTACATGTTCATGAACGGGTGCAGGCCAGCTAGACTGGTACCCTTACCTTACAATTTTCCGGCATCTGTAAATTGATCCATTTTATATTTAGTGGAGTCAGGGAACCAGACTACTTGAACAGTTTTGTTTTTCTTGGTTTTTCCAGCATTTTCGAACACAAAACTTCAAACATGTCAGTGTAACAACATTTGATCTATTATACTAACGCCTCAAATAGTTCATTTTTGAAAAATACAGCAAAAGCCAATGATGTATATTCCCTTTAACGTGACAGTTGATCTATTACTTCAATGTTAAATCTGTTTTCAAGTAGACATGTTGAACTTGTATGGTTTCCAAATTTCCACTAGTTCACGTTACATTAACCTTTCAATGAGAACCTTCTCCAAATAACTAAATGAAATGTGTCATGAGTCAGTGTCCTGCAGAAACATGAAATGCATGTCCAAGTCAACTGTGTGATGTCACTAGAAATGTCCCATACGTCTGCGCATTTGGTATGACTTCTATTGTATAGTAATAATAATAATAATAATAATCGGCATTTAAGAACGCTCTTATTAGTAAAATAAATCACAGCGCTTACAGTATCATTATTACCCCTGATCATTGTGCCAATTAAACATTCCAAATACCATCTCAGCTCCCTGGGGAGTATACAGCTCGATGCTGCCTGTTAGGCGCAAGCAAGCTAATTCAATCACATAACCATCTCTGCCCTCACAGGTACCCATTTACTCCTGGGTGGAGAGAAGCAATGAGTGACAAAGTGCCTTGCCCAAGGCACTTTGTCACTCATTGTCACTCATGTAAAAGGTACCCATTTACTCCTGGGTGGAGAGAAGCAATGAGTGACAAAGTGCCTTGCCCAAGGGCACACGCACCATAACCCGGCCAAGCTGGACTCGAACCCACAACCCGCAGAATTACCCGCAGACCACGAATTCAATGCCCTTAACCACGAGGCCACGGCACTCCACTGTGATATCGGTTTAAATATAAAAGAAGTAAAGAGGTAACATCGTCTAAATCTTCATCATTAATTTTTGAAGAGACCAACAAATCAGCCAAAGAATAAAATCAAGTTTGCAATTTGTCTGTTCACTAAAAATAATGAATTTGACTGAATTGTTGAATGTTCTCTTTGAGTAGGCTCACAGGACTCTCAGACGAGCGACAGTAGTTCCCTAAGAGTCCCCTCCCCAGATTTTCTGCAAACCAAGGCGGTCTTCAAGAAAGATAGATCGGTAAATCAATTTCATGAACACATTATAAACATACTGACATAACTGTGAAAATAATATTCCCACGGGGAACTGGAATGAGAAGAAACGTTATGTATTAAGCTTCTTATGTAAGCAAGCTTCTTTCTTCCTAGTTTTATCAGTTTTATCAGAAATTATGATCTTTAAATCGAAATCTTAAGTACCGTTGCTGTTGTTGCTGCTGTTATTGCTGTTGTTGTTGCTGCTGCTGCTGCTTGGCTTATTATAACATTTACTATATAAATGTTCCCTTTACCGGAGACTAAAGACATAACACCTGCGTTACAATAATATTCCAAACCATAAGTTCCACCCAAAGTAATACGCGTTTTTTGGTTACTAAACGAAGAAAACAAATAGGGCGTATAGAGACTGTGATCGTAGTACATCAGGATAATTAGGCCGAATAAAAAAAACCATGTTTCTCGTCCGGGTTTTTGAGAGAAAAAAAGGAGGAAGAGGGGCTTTTTATTTTTTATTTTTTATTTTTTTTTCAAGATGGCCGCCATTTTAAAATGAAAGACAAGTTGGACAAGAGAACTGAACATATTTACAGTGTTATTTAGAGTTGTATTGGTATTTATTTTCCGATGAATTTGTGGACTTTTTCGGGGGTTTTTTACTCCATTTTGCAAAAATAAAAAATAATAAAAAAATACAGGCGGCCTCCAAAAGGAAGCGGGCGGGGACGAGAAACATGGTGTTTTTTTACTTTGCCTTACTAATATGTGCTATTTTCAGCAAATTCTTCCTCGCGTTAGGACGTCGTGATGTCGGGAAAGAAGACAATAGCATCATTCGCTCACTATCATTGGTCCGCTGTCGATGTAATAAGCGTTGACATATAATGCGTACTCAGTAGTCGTGAATGTCGGGGTGCACATAATATATTACTGTATGCCTGACGAACCTGCTCATAATGAAGACCATAACAAGCTCCTCCTGTTAATGACGTGTAACTTGATGCTCTCTCCATTTTTGTCGTGTGTACGACCATTGTTGGTCGTACAACTGCTGTCCTGAGTTGTGTTTTACCATGGCTATACGGAAATATCCCAATTTCGGAGTTGTTCTGCTCTCTGGTCAGGTGATGTTGAAATACTGAGGACAGGTGGATTTATCTGGTCTGTGTAAAGCAGAACATTCGATATGTTTTCTATAATTTTTCCTACGGTCTAATGAAAACCCAGGCGGGACGTTTATCCCTATGCCTATATCGATTTCTACGACTACGATTGGGATTGTTCGGAGTTGCTTTCATACTATGAGGCGTGAGACCCTCTTTCGCCTCCTACCAAGAGGCATTTCATCTGATGCTGTCCTATGCCATTCTTCCTACCACCAGACCTTCTCTGGTAGTAGCGACACGGAGGACAATGAACCATCTGCCCGTCCACCGACTTCTAGAATTCACCAGCGACGAGGAGCTGTCATCTCACAGGTTCCTCCTAATAGCTCCGACTGTGGAGACGATGACGGGGGAGGTAGTGGTACCAGGTAAGATACGAAATAATTTGTAGGCATACAGCTCGTGCCCGAGGCAGTGCCATACGTATTGGAAGTTGACAATAATGTATACATTGCTTATCGAATGGCACCCAGAAAATATTAGGATGAGATTATCACTCAAAAGCGACAAGAAATTCCCGGGAATCTTTGCGAATCGGGTAGTGTAATTTATAGGGTTAGACTGAACAATGATGAGCTATGCGTCGTCGTCGTTTTCGAGTTTCAACTAGAAAAAAAACACACACATTTTCGTCAATATTCAAGTTATCTGTCAGTACAAGAGTTATTCACTAGTTAAGCCTATGAAATAATTACTTTACCAATTTTAAAATTTTGTTCGGCCCGACAAGCATTATTAGCGACGCTAGTACTGTGACCCGTTTATTATTATTAATTTTTTTTGGGGGGGGGGTGGCACCAGCATTTTTTGTGGGGCACCATGTGGTGCGGATCCATACAAAATTTGCCAACATTTTCGGGGGGCTGGACCTCAATTGACGACAGAGCTCTATTTTCCCCGTTTTTTATCTCTTTATTCATAATTATTTCATACATCCATAGGGTAAAGGGAATTAGCATCAAGTTGAAAACTACTCGTCTCCGCTTCCCTTTTGGTTAATTTGCTCATAAAGACACTTCTTGGGCGAGGGGCGTATTTCTGTTCTTTTTTTGGGGGGGGGGAGGGAGCACCTGGTGACGCCCCCCGCTACACCAGTTTTTACTAACTGTTACTTGTGTAGTGGATTTGCTAAAGTCTCACCTTCGTACCAAAATTCGCAATAGGATTATCCCGATATATCAGTCTTCAATATGTATTTTTTCGCGATTCCTCACGATTAATCACGATTGATTATTGTGTTCATTGATAGGAAATGAGAAATACTTGGTAAAGGGGTACTAAACCAAGACCAGCGCTCTATGCCCATCCGTTGATAACAAAACTAGATACAGGTTCTAAAATACTGAAAGGAAAATCCAGTGGTCTTGGGTTTTGAGTTCCAAGGAGAATGAAGTAATCAATCGTGGTCCGGAAGTCCTTCCCCATTATCAATTGGCCGGGGGTCGTGAGAGCTATGGGCTTCCACCTAGAGTGAAATACTGGTTTAACATTGTTGTAGCTTCCCATCCGGATAGGTGAACTGGATGGTGACATTTTGTCTTTCGTATTTCGTAAAATCTGGTTGGTGGGCTAGAGTCGCACCCTAAGCTTGAAAACCGAATAAACTGTAACACAATTAACGTGTCCAGGACGCAACAAAAATCCCTTAAAAAGTCGATCCCTGTGAGCTGGTGATAGTCGTAGGTTCAAATCACAACCAAGCGAGGTTGTGGGTTTTTTCCTTAAAAGTTGTCGGAAAGCAAGGGCGAACAGTGACTAGCTCTCAAATCCATGTAAAGCCATTTTCGAGATAGAATAATCATGTGCCTCGTTGACGCCAGGTTCATTATAATTTGGTTTGAACGTACTGTGATAGTTTGTATTGGTCTACCTACGTATGTGCAATTAATCTTCACGCAAAGACGCGTGACTGAGATTTGGAGCGATAAATGGGCCTCTTGCCTTTGATATGATTCCCCACATGCAACAAACACATCAAGTACCCAGCTATCTATGTGCACAATAAGTGATACAAATTCGAATTTCGTCACTGTCAAAGGCGAATTGTTTGACTTTTGTGTTTTGCTCAATATGATGAAAAGACACAAGTCAACTTGTTATAGGACCCGTATGTATACCGTTGATGTAATAATAAATGTGTTGATGTAAGCCTAATACAACTACATGTATTCCCACCATAGTCCTGTATTGCACGTAAACCTACATAAACGCACGGTCGTCCAACGTTTAGTATATTAAAGATGAATAGCGAACCAAGTGTACATTCTCCGTATACCCTGTTCACAAAGTCTTACATTTAGCTGATAAGAAATTTCACCCCAAAAGTGTACATCCATTGTTTAGTTCCAAACTGTTTCCATAAAGGGTATAATTTAGCCAGTGAAATGTGTTATTCAAAAGTATCTATTCAAACCTATATATTTTTGCATGAAAATAATCTAATTATTTTATCCCAAAACTAGACATGTTATGTAGATTTAAAGAAGATATATAGAGCAACAAATTTACGTATTCTAGCTAGCTTTATAGTTGATGGGGGTACCAGACACTGTATTTGAAGCAAAGATAATCTTCCAATTCCGTCCCCTTCAGCGCAGTAATAACCGTACTCGGTGTTAAGGAAGTTGTATCTTTCTAGCTGCAGGCGAACTGCCGGTTTCATGCAGTTAGCGGAGATCGTGTGCTTTTTATACTAAGCAAGTTCACTACCGTTACATCCAATTTCCGTTTTGAGGTTTAATATACGTTTCAGCGGAAGATGTCATCTCGGATTGATATGTACACCTGTTTGCCCAGCGGAGAAATATTCAATACTTGACATGAAGACAAATCCAACAGTTTACTGATTTAGTGTTGAATACCCCTAAGTCTAGCATTTAAAAATACGTACAAATTTGATTATGAGAATGAAACGTAAAACAGTTCTGATTCTAAAAATACCAAAAAACGGGGGGGGGGGGGGGTATTAATAACGAGGAACTCAACAAGTGCACGTACATAGAGTTATATTTAGCCCGTTTTCTTCATGATAATGTGCAATTACAGGGTGTATCAAAAATGTAATCCGAAAACATTGGGTTAGTATATGGTTGCTAGTCGGATGGGTGGTAAAAGTTATGAATTTGAACATTGTCGAACTTGCATCATCGTGAAGGGTAGTTTTCTATTGATGCCTTATTCGCATTTCGTCAGTCACGGATGACAGAACATCATTCATTTTAAAACAATGTAGACCGTGGGCCGGAAATCCTATCTCTCCTAGAAAATGAAGTCCGTTCAAGATTTCTGGTGGCAAAAAAAAAAATGCTTGTTCTTTGTCAATTCGAGGGTGCTGAATTCAATTCTTTCTGTTGACAAGCTCTCAGGTAGACGTTTAAGCACAATCTTTGTCCAAAGTGGCCCAAAACATCCATTTTGGGGGCCTCTGACAACCGATGGCGCAATCCATCCCCTTAAAGATCTCAGGAATGGCCTCTCCAATTTCAATTTGGAATAATTAATGATAAATTACTGTAAAAGATTGTAGGCTCATAGTCAAAGGGATGCCATAATAACGGCAATAATAGAAAAAATATTTTGACTGTATACTTAAGTGCAATGTTTGATTACTTGTACCACCTGGTTTTGAGGCATAACTGATTTAAATCCATAAGGCAAACCAGATTGTTTCCATGCAATTGACTGAATTCCATGCCCAATCGGCGCGACGGACCTATGCTGTCTATGCGGATGAGTCAGTGAGTGAGTGAATTCCATGTCATTAAATAGTCTTTGATGCAAAAACAATCACAATATTAAAGTTTTTATTGTTTTGGTACTTAAGTACGAAATTATGCAGCAAATAACGCTTTGGTCATAATCAGTATTGTATGCTAACACAGTATTTTTCAAAAGTATCACTGAAATTGTCCATGCGATGCTGAAAGATTACTGAATTATGTCATTTATCCAAACTAACTTGAATACCAAAAATTGTATAATTATGGGAAATAATTATGTAATAATACACTAAACAAAATTTTGCAGAGCTCAAAGAGCTCTCTGTAGATGACCGAATTACGTCATTAACCTAACGTGAAGTATTTTGATGCCAAAAGTTTCATAATTGTAAGGGTTTCATGGTATAAATTATGAAGTGTGAAATTATGCAAAACTTAACGCTTTGGCCATATTATGCCTTGTTTAAATGCGGACAAATTGGTATTTGTTGTGGAATCAATACAGCTCGGTCATTCGTGTCCTTAGAGATGCACATAGTGTATCAATAAACAACTGCTGCATCAACCTTTCAGATGAAACCACTCCGACAGTGTTCAAATTCACATACTAACCAATTTTTTTTCCCGAAAACCATTTTAGATGCACACTGCAAATATAGGTGTATGGAAATTGCGGAACGAGAACTCAAATAAACACTTCTGTCTGAAACAATGAAGTGTGCTTGTGGGCGCAGGGATCTTGAATTGTTTATTCATTTATATATAATATTTTATAAAATTTATGTAACGAAAATAATTCGTATTCGAATTTAAATCAACATTATTGCATACATATTATTGGCAAGGAAATGTATGTTAACCAAAATCAAATTATTTTTTTTCAAAATCAAAAGCATAATAGTTGTCAAAATAAGTACACACAGCTTTAACAAGATTCCAAGCAATTCAAAAGTTCACTTAATGTAAGGGATCAGAAAATCAAAGTATAAATATCACATCTTTCCTACTCCCAAGGGAATTTAAAACGGTGTCTGAACGACTCACCAGACTCCCCAATGTTAAGTATTTACATGAGGACATTTAAGATTTGTTTTCATTCAGTTCGATCATGAAACGAATAACGTCATCACTCGATTTTGTACATCTTTATTCATTGCCTGAGGCCTTTGGGTCTTTTTTATGCGTTGACTACAACCTCACCGACCCCCCCCCCAACCGTTTGGAATTCAAACAAATCGTGGAATTCAACACCCCAGCGGGCCCAGCCACTCCCTTTGAAAAGTCCTTGGATCCAATGGTTACGGTGTTCGACTCATGTTCTGATACGTGGGTTCGAACCTGACGGGGAAACTGGTGCTTGTGTTCTTGGGCAAGACATTTTACTGAACATCCCACCAATAAGCTTGGAAGTTTACATCGTTATAGAGTTATAGGTCTAGTTTTTGTGTGGGAAAAACACCGAAACGAGAACCCCTGAAACCACAACAAGTGAAAGAATGAGGTGGCTGATAGATTGGTGGTGGGTGAAAGTTCATCTTCAAAATGTTGACTATTATGTAATTATTTTCCCGCCAGTGGTGAAATCGCGAAGGATTCCAAGTTACTGCGTGCCGTCTCCGCACCGTTGTAATGTCGGCAATGTCCACCTT